TAAAATAGCACATAGTACCAAGGAAAAAATTAATAAATAAGCATTGAATTTTTATTCATACAATCAAAAATCATCTCAACCTTTTGAGTAATTAGCAGCTGAACGAAGATAAGCACATGCTGTTTACATACAGCTGGGTAATTCCTGTGGGGATTTTATGTGATATGCCTACTGTAGTACTAATGTTTACATTCTTGATGCTGTAGGAACTGCAGGAGGTGGCTGCCTTTACTAAACCAATAAGTGCTTCTGCAGCAAAATAGTCTCTCATTTACTTTCCCTCTTAGAAAGACAGGCAGAGGTCCAGAGTAACATGATGAAAATGCAGTGGAATAAAGTGAAACATGTCATTTGTGTGGAAACTGGAATACCTTAAAATGACTAAAGCACAGGCTCTAACTCAAAACAGAAATATGTGTGCATTTTATTCTCAGCATTATCAGCAATCCACTTTCTAAATAACTGCTACACATTTACCCAGCGAGGTCAGGGCTGACACATTTACCCAGGCTTAATCTATATTATTTCAGTCTGAATAGTGACTTATTTAATTTCTTCTTTGAGATTTTTTTTTATCTGCCTTCTTTGCTTTTCTCTCACTTGTTTACTTTCTCCCTTGTTAATCCTTCTTTGCCTTTACAAAAAACACTCCAGTCACATCATCAACCCCCACCCTCATATCCTGAGTCAGTGTGTAAACCTCGAGTCGGATCAGAGTGTATCCACTCTCCTTCAAACTAGTACAGACCTGGGCCTCATTCAGCGGGACCACTGGGATCCTCACCCCAGGCCCCGCAAAATAATAACTCTCCCCGAGGGCTCCGATGAGCATGAGGTGCCCACCAGGGCGCAGGAGCTTCCCAATGTGGCCAAGGGCCCTGGTGAAGGCAGCGAGGTCAGGGCTGACACTCTCCAGGCAGAAGCAGGACACCAGACAGTCGGCCCCTGCCGAAGGAAGGGCATCAGGAGCCAGGGGCTGAGAGCAGTGCACGTCAATGGGGAGGATGTCCGCGACGACCTGACGTAGCTTTGCAGCTTTCTCAGTCCACGCTGAGGGCCTGTTTGAGTGAATCATCAAACTGTATAAAACAGCTCTTTCAGACTGGCACCATATTCTAATCAGTGCATGATTTTTTTATCATTATCATTAAACTGGCGAGTATTTTATTCTAACTTAGACACTTTTTTCTTGTCTTGTTATTAAGAAGAACGCTCCATGATAGAACCCAAAATAAATTGTTATGACACAGAAGGCAACTTCATTCTGAGGACTGTGCAAGAAAAGAGTGTTGCTTCAAGAAAATCAAAAAGAAAGAGGAAAATATGTGATCTATGTGATCTTGTTTTTCTCTCTCTCTCTGTCTTTGGTTAGCCATACAATATACCAGGTATCTAACGTTCACTGAATCTTAGTAACCATCATTTTAAGCTGTACCAAGTCTTTAGCTATAGTTCAAAGTGATCTTTTCCATACCGTCGTCCCTCCAGTTTGCAGACGTGCTGTAGGTATGGTGTCCAGTCAAGACTGCATTGTCCCTCATCCTGCAGCCAGCGCCTCAGCTCCTGCCGGTTCACCTCCAGGAAGTCTGTCAGGAGCACTTTACTAAAAACCTCACAGCCACTCATCACCTGGTACAAGGTGGGACCTGAACCTATGTCCACGAGGAGCTCACCACTCATATCACCTGGGAAGAGGGGAGAAAAAAAAGAGCAAAGTGAGATCATGAAGGAAAGTTTTCTTGGTTAAAACATTATCATATTAGATGTAAAGATCCTGACTCCGAATCACTCAGTAAAATAAAAGTGATCATTCATTAAGTAGCCTTGCAGGAAAAGAAAAAGAGGTTTAGTTGCCTTTTTAAAAACTATTATTTTTATTAGGGAAAAGCTCTTCAGCGGTGCTTGGACCCACCCAAGGCTCTATTTGTTTTCTGCTACAAACTAGGAGAAGGAAAAATGGGGAGATGAAAAAGCAAATGAGTGATGAAGCAAATTTTTATTGCATTTCAGAAACAAAATACACCAGAACTTCCTTACCTTCAGTAAAAGCTCTGTGCAGGCATGCCAGTTTCCACGGCACAATACTGTCTTTTCTTGTGAAGTCAGCCCGTGGTGGAGTGTAGTTGTACTGCAGATAAGCAGCAGGATCAAATCTCCGGTAGCAGGCTTTCATGGCTGCCACTCCATTCTCTCTTCCTTTTTCTTCCATCATCCTGCTTTCTCTGCTGCGATACCTTGCACGTCTGTTTTGGCTGGTCAGTCTTCAGGTAAGCTGCTGAAACCCCTTGAGCTGAATTATATACTTGTGTCTGTGTGTCTCTGTGTGGGTGTATCTGTGGTATTATGCGTGTGCTTTTGCTTTGGGCTACTCTGAGTTTCATGGGCAGAGATAGAGATCCTCTTTTTTTAGTCGATGCTGCCTGATAGCATTTGTTCCGTTCACTTTCCCTGCCCTAAGGCACTGATACCATCAGATCAGGGGGCTTCCTCCAACACTAGACCCAATAATGGACTCCTCATATGGCTTTTAGCTCCTTCGCCCACCTTTCAAAAGCCTCTCATATCTACACAATCATTCTAAAGGGCCTTTTGGAGTTAAATGGCACTGAGCAGGTTTGTTCTTAAGCAACCCCTTTCGAAAATACAAACAGGTCTGTCTCAAAGACAAACAAGTTTGTGTCTGTCTTCGTTGGCCATTTCACTTTGTGATTTTGGTACTGAGCTGCAGAGATAAGGAATATCAAGTGGTTGCAAAGTAAAGGTGGGGAAGACTGCCTCTTTACGTATGCCTCACATAGGAAGTCAAAGATTCAAAAAGTAAAGTCTTTCACATGTACAGATATGGACTGGGTAACGTGTTAAGACGTTTAAAGGAAATAAAAATGATTATCCTAGTTAAAAGATAGCTTGAAAAACAAAGTGAAAATAAGATGTACCAGGCTTTTTTTTTAATGCCACCTGTTGGTGTCAGACAGATGGAAACACAGAGTTGATGCTACACTGATCACTGATTAAAATGTGTTCTTTAATTTTTTTGACCAGTGTTTATTCGCTAACACCACTGTATATGTCTGTATAAGTTTTGGAGGAGAGGGTCTATTGCTTTGTATTCTGAACATGACAAGATTCAACCATGTCACTGTGTACTTTTACTCGGGCTGTACTCAATGTTTAGAGGTAAATGTGAATATCGGTACACTGCTCACAGTTCAAATAAAAACACATTGATGTTATGCAGGTATAATGTGCAGTCTGCTCAAAACTGTTAAATATTTCACGATGCTAACACTTCTAACAAGAACTGAACACAAAGTACACCTGAGGTTGATATACCCTAGTAGTTATCAAGAGGGAGACGTGAATGTGTATGTCCTAATAATTCCATGAAATCATTGTGAAGAACACAAAAATATTTAAAAAGAGTTAAAAAGAGCCAAAAATAAACAGAGTTAAAATGTTGCATCACCCACTCGCACAGACACGTTTGTGGATTAGTGCAGGCAGGAGTACGGTAAGGTTCCTTCCCCTGAGTCAGATAGACAGATAATAGAGCAAAGGAGAGGAGGAACATGGAAGAACAGATAAAAGGGATAAAACAGACAACAGAGAAAAGAACAGGTCAGGTATAATGGAATAATAAACACTTAGCCAGAACAACAGGAGTCAATTTTGTTATCTGTAGTCCCAGGGGCAGTGGGGGTTCAACAGTGTGAGTCAAGTCTCCTCTGGGTTACTCTATTTTGTCGGAGCACGATAGTGTAATTACAAAAATACAAAAGCAAAATAAAGTCATGTTTTGATATTTTTTAACTATATGGAGTAACTGAAATATAGGTGACAAGGTAATTATAGAAGTGCAGGACATGATTTCTGCATCCACCACTTCCAGTTACTTTTAAATTGACTAAATGTGAATAATAAAGGAAGCATTTAATGAAAAATATTTTTGTTTCAAACTGCTGTGGCCCTCTGTATCATTACATGTCCTAATGTGAGGTTATGGGTTGGAAAAGCATTTAGAATATATAGATTCCTTAAGTAACCATCAACACACAAGTCAGGATTTTTATTAAACAACACAATTTTTTTATGATCTCTTTTGTTTTACTAGAAACTCTCACCTATTCATCACCCCTTACCTCTGGTGCTCCTCCACCAATGCCACTGGAGTAGAGCACTGTCAGTATTACAGTAGTGACTAACAGCATTGTACGAGAGCATGACTGTCGGGTGGCAGGGGTTTATTTTGAAAAGTGAAAAAAATTACCGTCTTCCGTTCTTCTTCCGCATTTCGCCGGCCGGCCTGACGTCATCTCCTACCACTTCACAGCCAATGTACAAGGCGTCGGTTTTTATTTTTAAATATTAGACTACAGAGTGAGAGTTGTTAGTTTATTGTAGTTATCAGTATAATATTTTTAACGAATATTTTTTAAACGTTAGCGAAACGCTCCGTGTTCATTCTCTTTGCTGAAAGCTGCAGCAAAAGTTTCATCACTTAGGGGAGGAGCCGTGTCCGTCTGTGTTCAGAGCACTGCTGTGATAAATGAAGGAATCAAAGCTTAAAGAAGAAGAAGGTGAACAAGAATTAACAGAAGACAGGGGCTGGTTCGCACGCAGGACAACATATACCGGGACTTCAGGAGGTTAAGTAAGAAGAAACATGTTAATATGCATGGAGCAGGAGGTTTATTTATATTTTGCAAGGATGCAAGGAATCAGGTTTCATGCTGCTATGCAAGAAGACGTCTTAGGTGGATGGAAAAAGTTGATGTATTTGTCCTAATGTGC